TTGAAGGTTTTCTTATGTTGGGTTACAATGTTTATTTCTGAGTTAACATTTTTGCTGAAAATCAGTCTGTAGATACTCTATGGCATTATCCCTTAATTTACTTGCTTATGGTTTACATTCAGTTCTATTCCTTCCCTGTTTTAGTGCCTGATAGTAAGCTGGTGTTGTTTTAGACCCTCATGAGAATGCTTATTGATTGTCTGTAGTAACTATTGGGAAAGTGAAAAAATGCCCCTGAGAAAAAAGTTCTCAGCACCCTGAAAGTAACTGTTTGTCTACATAAAGTCTACTCATTAGATAAAATGAAACTCTAAAGATCCCCATGGGGGGAAAAAAAAGTCTAAGTCAAAGGCAAAGTCTAAAAATAGCACATCGGCACAAAACCCCCCCACTAAATGTCTGCACGGTAGTGGAGAGCTAATTATTTGAGCTTGTTTTGCAGCAACAGCACCTTTGCTGTCATCGAGTTGACCATGAAATCCTCTGTATACCAAAATATTCCAGAATCAAATGTGAGGCCATCTGTCCGGCAGCTAAAGCTTGGCCAAATCCGGGTCATACATCTGGGTCTGTGATGCAATCACAGCAGCAGATGTACAGCTGAATGGCTGAAAACGAAAAGAATCAAGGTGTTGTAATGGAGCAGCCAAAGTCCAGACCTCCAGTTAAGACAGCTGTGTATGAATTGAAGTTCCCAAACCTCAATGAACTGAATAGAATAGAATTAGAATTCAACTTTATTGTCATTGCACATGCACAGGTACAGGGCAACGAAATGCAGTTTGCATCCATCCAGAAGTGCTTTTTAGTGATATAGATATATTACAATATATATTAGCAATAATATAGATATGTAAGTATATTACAGAAATGGGTCTATTATGGTATGTTATAATGTACACGGTATGAAGTATGTTATGAATATTCTATAACTATAAGTATGTACAGGCTGTAGTGAGTACAAGCTATGTACAGGCTATGAACAGGATATAAATATGAAATAAAAAACTATACAGAAATATGAGATATACAGTTATACAGAAATGTGAACTATGCAAGTTATAAACAGTTGTAGGATTAAAAATTATCGTATGTACAGAATGATTATTTACACAGAACTATACAGTAGTGCAGTTAAGATAAGTGAGATATGTGGATAATTACTACAGAGGCTATAAAGTGCTAGTGGTTGTGAGTGGTGGTTCAGTCCATGTTATTATTGTGTGTTTGAGGGTACGGTTGTCCATGTGTGTGTGTGTAGGTGGTTGTGGGTGTGTGTATGTCCAGTCCATGAGTTTAATGTGGGTCAAATGTCAGGAGGCAGAGTTCAGGAGTCTGACAGCTGTGGGGAAGCAATATTGTAAAGACGAGTGGGCCAAAATTACACCCCAATTATGTGAGAGACTGATAAAGCCATGCAGAAAAGGATTACAGGGACAGTACTTTGTCACTGAGGTAACACTGTTTGAAGAAAGAAGCAATAATCCCGCAAATTAAACAAATGCATCAGTCTGATTTCAGTCCGAAGTGGTAATGAATTCCTCATCAGAGAGCATCTGTTTGCAGGTTCTTGTGAAATGTTTTATTTGTGAGTCGGACTGAATTTAATCATAACCAAGCTGATTTTTGTATAAAGATCACAGAGTTTGTGTTACCTGAACAATTCTGGCACTTGTACCTTGACTGTGGTCCACTAAATCGGGTAAAGCTAGGTCAAATTTCTTATGAATGAACTCGCTGAGCTGCACAAGAATTAAGGATTAAGTGTGGCTGACCCCTGGTGGATAAAGAGATCAGTTTCGGTGCTTTCCTAGTTTGGAGTTTAATTTCACTTTGCACAGTGTCTCTTCTATTAAATTTGTTAAGGGGGGAGAGTCATGTCGATGCGCCCTTTCTCATGGTTTCAAAAAATATTGTATGTAATGAGCTTGAAATATTTACAATTTCTTCATTTGAATACGGTTCGCTTTAATTCACTTCTGTTGTTTCCTAAATCAACCATCAGTCATCCACACAATCATGATCACATTTTAACGCCCACACTTATTGGCAGGTTTGACTTTTTGTAGAGAGCCTTGTTTAGTTAATTGTGATGTTGTTACAGGCTCATCTTACCACTGTCTCCTTGTCTGACCCCCATCATTTAAGAGATTACTTTACAGGCGATCTCCCTTGAGGTTTCCTTTACAAACCTTATTTTCCGCGTGCATCACAAACTGGGTCCATGTGATTGAAACCCACTGTTTTTCTTTCCCCGAGGGTTTGGGGACGGGGCTATGTACCTCCATGTTTGAACCAAAGCTATTTAAACCTACAAGGGCTCTGTTCACTTCTAAAAACGCCAACGCCACAGCCTGAGGTTGTACCCTCATGTGTCAGCCGCTCAACTGACGTCACCCAAAAGCACTTGCACACTTCCCTTAATTTGGCGTTCACTGAGCTCCATCCTGTGGCTGCATGCGGGCTAATGTGACACTAGAGGATAAGCAGAATGACCTCTAACTGTCTTAAAAGAGAACAGGCATTTTATAGACAAGGTGACCCAGTCCACAGGGTGACTGAAAAGGACCTGATAAAGTATGTTACAGCTCAACGTCACACAGCACGGTATCACCAGAGAAAAATACTGAACTGTAAGTGCATGCCCCACTGAGATTACCAGAGGGCATGTTTGCTGATCTGCATTTTTTGATTTTTTTTTTTCTTACACTTCCTTCAGGAAAGTGGGGCAAAACATAAAAATGTACTCTGGTCCCCACAGAATAGATCAGCTACAGAGGGCTTTTCAAGTACTTTTGGGCTCCAGCCAGCACACTGAAGTGTACCAAGTTACTGTAGTGGCTCATCAGTCATAGAACTTAATGACCTTATATTTACAGTGGTGTGAAAAAGTGTTTGCCTCCTTCCTGATTTCCTATTTTTATATGCTTGGTACACTTAAATGTTTGACATCATCAAAGAAATTTAAATATTAGACAAAAATAACACAAGTAAACACAAAATGCAGTTTCTAAATAAACGTGTTCATTGTTAAGGAGGAGAAAAAATCAAAACTTTCATGGCCCTGTGTGAAAATGTGATTGACTCCACCTTGTAAAAACATTGGTTAACTGTGAGTAACTACATATTTTGCAAAGTTGAGTTCAGTTTCACTGCCACACCAAGGCCTGATTACTGCCAGACCTGCTGAATTAAGAAATCACCTAAATAAAACCTTTCTGACAAACTGAAGAGATCTCAAAAAAAGCAACACAAAAGCAGAACTTTTTGGAAGGTTTGAGTCCCGTTACATGTGGCATAAAACTAACACAGCATTTCAGAAAAGGAATGTCATACCAATAGTAAAGTGTGGTGGTAGTGTGATGGTCTGGGGCTGTTTTGCTGCCTCTGAACCTGGAATTCTTCTGTCTGTCAAAACATCTTGAAGGTGAATGTCTGGTCATCTGTTTGTGACCTCAGGCTGAAGGACATCTGGGTTCTGCAGCAGGACGATGATACAAAACACACCATCAAGCCCACCTCTGAATAGGTGAAGAAAAACAAAATGAAGCCTTTGGAGTGGCCTAGTCAAAGTCCTGACCTGAATCTGATTGAGATACTGTGGCATGACCTTAAAAAGGCGGTTCATGCTCGAAAACCAACTGACTCATTGTCAGTTATTGCAAATGCCTGATTGCAGTTGTTGCTGCTAAGGGGGGCCCAACCGGTTATTAGGTTAAGGGGGCAATCCCTTTTTCACACAGGGCCATGTAGGTATGGATATTTTTTCCCTTTTAATAATAAACAACTTCATTTACAAACTGCATTTTGTGTTTACTTGTGTTATCTATGATGATCTAAAATCATTTACATGTGACAAGCATTCAAAAAATAGGAAATCAGGAAGGAGGCAAACACGTTTTCACACCACCATAACACAGAAATATTTTCCCTTTTAAAGATGAACAAGTTTCCTCTTGTTAATAAAAACACTGATTGTTCGCTGTAAAGTTAATTGGCTTTCTTGGATTATTAATTCAAATCACAATTTCATCCTTTATTGTGCATTTAGTGTATTTTATAAATTGCACATGCATAATACCTGCTGTCTGTGAATGAGAGGTGTTCAGTGATCAGAGCAAGTAAACTTTTAAGGCGAGCAGAATATTTGTGATCATTTTACAGGGAGAGCGAATGCTCTTTAGCCTGTGCTGAAAAATGACTCAGTATTCAGTCAACAATAACACGAGTCATATTGGGCATGGATCACTGACCCCACCTGCAGGTCATTGCCACTATAATCAATATGCGAGTTATCCCCAAATGGAACTGAAAGCGATGCACGCCCCGAGCTGTTCTTTCTCTGTATTCTCTGTGTCATTATTATGGGGGGCTCGAGGTAAATAAAACATATCAAAGCAAACTGCTCTCATAGCATTCTAGGTTTTTTACGAGATTTGAGATACAGCTGCACAGACTGGGTCAGAGGAAACCATACTGAACCACAACAAAGCTCTAAAAATAGAGAAATAGAGAACGATGTATAAATTGATCCTGTACTGCCATAAGGAAACAGAGATAGGGGATACAATGCTTGTGAAAGTACAATCTGTGTGCTTTAATCCCCTTTTGTTTAATTTTTCATTAACTAAATTAAAAGCTAAAAAATATATGGTCCTAACAAAATTGATTATTAGAGAATATTTAGTGAATTTCATGATTTCTGACAGTGAGTTTAAAAGAGTCTGGAAATCCTCCACATTGAGACAATTTTATTAATCAAATAAACTCAACAATAAATAAAATATACAAACTTGTATGACATTAGAAAGTGGTACAGTGGGAACTTTCCTGGGCTGAAAGGAATCTGACACTCTTCACCTACAGTTACAACTCCTGATTGTGTTTTGAAAAAGAAAATACAATGAAAAGTGGCTTTATCCTGAATGACGTGCGTTCCTGCATCATTGAGTGCTTGCAGCATCTCGACTGCAACAGCACTCTAGTTTTCTCTCCTTGGTAACTTAAACTCTTGACAAAGATCGGGGATGTCGAGCATCAGGTCTCATCATGTGACTGTAAGTAAATTGGTTTGGCCTGTTTCCTCAGGCGCTGCTGTGCTCGTAGCTTCCTGCCCTTCTGAGTTGCCAGTCCCATGGGTGGTAGATACGTCTGCAACACACACAGAGTATGCAAATAAAATTCCCCCAAAACAACATGACCCATTATGGTCTAATAAAGTGTAATTACTTACAGCTCTTGGATATGGGTTTCTGTAATGAAGACCTTTAAAAAAAATTAAAAAATAACAACGTGTTAGTGACAACGTTACATCAAACTATAAACAAATTATAAAATAAAAGCCAAGAAAAATCATTGTTTAGGTAAGTATGTAAGAGCACAACATAGTACTTTTCTCATCCTGTTACCGCAGGCTTGTATTGTTATTTTTTCTCTGCAGTTTCAACCACGATTTTTTTTTATCCAAATCATTCAAGTCATCAGGTCAGCTTTGCTGCTTACTCACGCTTGACATGCTGAAAACCTTTCAACTGACAAAGACTCAGTGTGTGATGTGTAAGAGTTGCGTAAACACGGCACT